TTGGTGTTGTGGTCATCGAGGGGATGGGGCGGACCCCCTTCATCCCCCACAGCACAAAGGGGGTCCGGCATTCCGGGAACGCCGGACCCCCTTCGTGCTATGCCCATCGTCGGATCGGATCTCGGACCCCCGTCCTCCCCTGCGCCACAAAGGGGGTCCGGCGTTCCCGTCCTCCCCCGCCGCACATAGGGGGTCTGGCGTTCCGGGAACGCCGGACCCCCTTCATGCTGTGGCCATCGAGGGGTGCGGATGGACCCACTTCTTCCCCCGCAGCTCAAAGGGGGTCCGCGTTCCCGAAACGCCGGATCCCCTTGGTGCTGTTGCCGACGACGGGGAGGTAGGGGGCCCCTTACTCTTTGGCAGCACCGACATGGGTCCGGCGTTCCGGGAACGCCGAACCCCCCTCGGTGCTGCTACAGGGAGGGGGAGGGACGAACATGAAATGCCGCGGGGTTCCGTCGAGGACGCGGGCGAGGGAGGGGTCCGGCCAACTACCGTGCCGACAGGCACGCTGGTGGGGTTTGCTATTTAGGGGACGCCAGACCCGCGCACGCTACGGTCGTGGAATGCCGGACGTCTAGGGAACGAGGGTCGGGGTGTCGGGGTGTCGGGCGTCTAGGGAACGCCGGACCCCTTTTCAGATTGGGTGGGGGGTCGGGTGTTCTGGGAGCAAATGACCCCCTTTCATAAATGCCCCGAGGGGGGTGGGCGTTCTGGGAACGCCGGACCCCCTTTCATAAATGAGGGTCGGGGGGGCGGGCGTCTAGGGAACGCCGGACCCCTTTCCAAAAACGAGGGTCGACTCCACATGCGAAGCGCTTCTGTTTGTTCCTCATTTGTTGTTTGCTTGTGCGTTTCCTTTGTTTGTGCCCTCTAGGTCAACCTGCTGCTTCGTCCTCTCGGGCATATGGCAGGTCGAAAATCTACAACAACAAACCATGGGCTCTGGACTGGGTTGGTGGTCTGCATAGGCCTGGGTGTAGGGTCGTCGTCTTCTTGAGCAACGACAATGGTGCGACGTGGTACTACTGTGGGGGTGTTGAGAAATCTGAGAGCGCCGGGAATACCTACGACGGGAGGTCGTTCAGGACCTTCTTTCTTACGTTAGTTTTCGACAAGGATGGCACAAATTGGGTCAAGGAAGACAAGAAGGTCGGCCTTGACTTGCGGCTGTTTCAAGGCTATGGTGTCAAGGCTTTCTCCATGAAAGCGTTTGACGCGCGTGGGGATGGCACCGAGCTTCGCATGCTGACTGCGGAACAGTTCCTCTGTAGAACGAACGGCTACCGCGTCACTGGCTGCCTTCCTGTTGTTGAAAGCTCCTTGGAGCTCACCAAACCCTTGGTGAAATTCAGCAGCCCGGCGGACCAATTGCCTGGCGTTGTTAAGGAGTACAGGGAAGCCTTCTCGAGGCTGCCTCTGGACCAGCAAGCCGACTGCGTTTTCGTGCCCTTTGTCACGAGCTCGAGGAAATTGCGACAGACGCCATCCGCGCTGGTTGGGAAGAGGAAACAGTTGGCTGCTTGTCCAGCTCCGCCTTTGCCAGCCGCGTCGCCCTCGCCCTTGCCCACGGCGAGGGGAGGTTACGATATCGCTCAATGTTCCAGCGAGGCTACGGAGTATGATGACAGAAATGTGTACGGACGCAATGCTCCGCGTGACAGTGCCCAGAAAGCTGCGACTGCCCTCACTGAGCGAAACGAGGAGGAAGAAGATGGGGGAAGCTGCGGTCCACGTGAAGACGACGGTGATGACGAGTATATGGACGTTGGGGATGAGAACATGCAGGACCAAAACGTGCTTGGCGATGACGACGTCGGTGTCAAGTCGGAGCATGGCCCTGGCGACATCCCCACCGGTTTTGTGGGAGCGGTTGTTGGTCGGCCCTTGTCGTCCCCTGCGATATGGCATTCGCAAGGCGGGAGTCAGGGTGGGCATGACTCGCAGGAGCACGGAGGATCAAAGTCGAGGAAAAGGACAAGAGAAACTTCTCCTTCTGCTTCCGCTCACAAGAGACAAGCGAGGACTGACGCTGTTAATGAGGCTCGTGGAACTCTGGTGGCATCCAAGGAGGCGAGACCTCTTTGGAAGAGCAGCCAGGGGGGAAGATCTGGCGGTCGTGGCGGCGGCCGTGGTGGCGCAAGAAAAGGTAAGTAGATAGTGAGGGCAGAAGAACTGCGAGACTCAGGGGATGAGGGCGAGGGAGTGGGCCCTCGCATGCCCGACGATGGTGATGAACCGCTTCAGCACGCTGCGCCCATTAACACGACGCGTTGTTTCTTCCTCGAGTACGACGAGCGGGGTCTTGCTAAGCAAAACGTCCTTCCTGTTCTTGTGGACGTCATGAAAATCAAACACATTCCCCGCGGGAAGATTCTTTTCAACCACCGCTCTTTGTCTGCGAACATTGTGCGAGGCATCGTGAATGCCATCGAGAGTTCCATCACCATGGAACCGGGGGCGTGGGATAGGCCTGAGCTCGTGCTTGCGCCGGTTGACCGCAACGACATCGTTGGCGGGCAGGGTAAGCGGAATACACCGACCGAATTCTTCGACAGAGACTCCTCGGAGTTCGATTGGTATGCTGTCTGTGGTCAGCATACGGTCGAGGCCATGAAGACATTGGTAAAAAAGGGCTCTCCGGCAGTCGACGTCTATGGCCTTCGCGCTTACTCTTAGGTGCGGGTCGTCTATTTTGGAGATGAGCAGACGCGAGGGTATTTCAATGTCTCCGCCTTCGACAACACGCGCGAAAATCGGGCCATGATGTTGTCCTTCGAGGATGTTGTCCATGATATGAGGCAATGGTGGATCGATAACTATCGAATCGAGGCCTCGAAAGGCAAGGTCCGCCTTAAGGATGCGGTCGTCGTTGCGCACCAAAAGAAGTGGCAGAATTTCTTAAGGGCCTCCATGGGGAAGGCATGCGACAAGGCGTTTGTAAAGCAAGCGCTCGAGAATGAGTACATTAAGGATTGGAGCAATAAAATTCGTGGCTACATGAACCTCGCCACATCCACCGAGGCGGTGTGGCCACTGGTCGAGAAGTTCTTCGAGATGTTCAATGAGGGGAAGCTGCCAGTTGGCGATGGTAAAATACCGCTTGACATGCCGGGTAGGATGGAGGGGCGCACATAATATTATACCATTGCATATACGTGAGAGATGGTCCCAAAGGCTCCACCGTGTCGTGGAAGGATCTCTATCCTTCCTACTTCAAAAATTTTGGGGATTTGACGTGCCGCGAGAGGGAAGTTGCACTGCTCCTCCTCATGAAAGGGAAGGTGGTCGCGATGAACATCAAGGTCATGCCTACGAGAGTGAATACGGAGTGCCTCCTCGACATCATGCGCAAGGAACGGTACATGGTCCGTATGTTCAACTACGTTGTTTTTCGCGCCGAGGGAAGGGCGAACAATGAGCGGAATGATGCCTTCTTTATGTCATACAAGGACCTCGAAGATAGGTATGGGCCAAACGGTCTGTGTGCAGCTGAATGGGAGAAGGAACGGGACAAGCTGCATGTCTGCAAAGTGAAGACGGTCCTTCGACGGCTTGGAGGGGTGGAGGAGGCAAGGCAAGGATCAGGCTTGGGCCCTACGGCGGCAATGTATAAGGAGGCTCCGTTCCACTTTAAGGTGTTTGTATACACCTCAATCGATAAGCTCGATCTGCTTCGGGCGGAGGTCAAACGGGTCGCCTTCAGCACACGTCATATCGTGTGGGATAAACTTAAAAAACAAACAACATTGCTACCGGTGTGCATGGCATTGATGGAAGTGTTGGCTGCGCCAGACGACATCGTCGTTGCGGCGCAAAAAATGACCTGCAGGGCCGTCATCCTTGACATCTCCCCCGCTAACTTCTGCACGACATGGACCTCTCAAGAGTTCGACGCTCTGCACTCTATGATGACCAAGTGTTGTGACGTTAATTGGGTTCTTTTTGTTTTCGCACCGCAGAAGGTGCAAAGTGATGTTCTACGTTGCTTATTCCAGTGGGAGGACATCGAACTCATCCTCGGGACCTGGAAACGGGTGGACAGGCCATCGAATGACATCACGAGGTATGGCAATATCACTACAGCGAGTCGAGACATGATGACCATTGTCCTGCACGCGGAGGGATGACCTCACAAACGTGCATGTTGTGAAGGACAAGTTCGGGAAGTGTCTGGGGAAACACGGTGGCATAGAGGGCGATGAAAGTGTGGTGTATTCCATCAGGGAGCAGGAGTCTGGCAAGTTGCGTTCGTCATTCGTCGGGGAGGCGGAAGGTGTGCTTTTATTGGCTAGGGCGCACGCGGGTCTTGTGTGGGAATTCTTACTGGCAGTGAATAATGTCATTGCCTGTGACGAGTCGGCAAAGGACATTGCATACTTGACAAAGTTCATCGATATACTTATCAAGGACGACAGATTCAAATGCCACATCGAGAAACCGCGTTGCAAACATTGCCCAAACAGGGACATGTTCCACAAGTTGGGGCCTAAGAGACTGAAGGTGTGGGAGTACCTCAAACATTATCACGGTGCTTTCACTAGCGCCTTTGAGACTTTTGTTGCTCGATGCGAGATCCTCAAGTTCGATTTTCGCAAAGACCAATTGACGTCCAAGGACTACGCGGAGCTTGCGAAATCGGGCAATGGCTTTAACCCCGTCGACAGCGAGGAAGATTCTTCGGACTCCGACCTCGAACTGGGCGAGGACACATGTGCTGAGGTTCCGCGCGGAGGAATGGTGCAAGCTCATGATGACGAAACTGTCCATTCGCACGAAGGGTCCATCCCGGTGGCCGCCCCAAGCGTCGCCTCAATGGTGGCCCCGTCGGAGACTGCTGCATTGCAAGACAATGGAAGATGCGGTGGCAATGAAGAAGACGACATTGA